ATGATATCCAATTTTCTATATTTACTCATTGCATTGCAAATAGGAAAATTTTGAGTTACATCCTTCATTTTACTCCAATTTCTAATTTCTATGCATGAAGTTCATTAGCACCATAGAAACGGATGCGAGCGAGACCTTTCAATAATGCGCAATGACACCGAAATCAATTATGTCGTACTCTCATTATAGATATCCGGCTGTTAGTAGCGCCGCGAGACTCATTTCGCTGAATTAGTACTTTAAGCATGGGCTTCGATGCTATAGTATAGGTTAATCATAAAATCGTGAGGATTTGACTGCGGTCTTCGCGCCCACGGGAGCAGAAAATGCTTATACAAAAAGGCATCACCTCAACTCTCAGCTCAGTTCGAGTGTCTAAATACTATCACATATAAGCAGAAAAACCATCCGAGTAGAGACGGAAACCAAGTTGCGGTTGTGGGAAGTGCGTGCGTGTCGCGCGCGCTCGCGCCATCGTTACGATTTTTCGAATGCCCTATGCTTATTATATGATCTGGAGACAAAAAAATAGTGGATGATAGCGAATTTTGCGTGGGAGGAGGGTAAATACCTCTCAGATTGGAAAAAATTGGAAATGGGGACACCGAATACCTCATTTATATCATTTCCATGTTAACTATGATATCACCTCTTCTGCATTCCCTCCGCCCCCTCCCCTCTTTTTCAGCTTTGCGTTTGCAGTCTTTTTTCTTGAATTCATAACGTTTATATACACAACATTGATGTTTGGAGAGAGTTAAGAGTGAAGGAGAGCGTCATTGGCAACCTTTTTGTTAACTTCATGGATCCACTTTCTCTCAAAATATTGTTGAAGGAACTAGAAGGAGATGGGCTCACTTTATGAACTTAAGGAAGCAACATAGAATTCAATTTATTTTTCAATGAAAATTATTATCAGCTTCTTTCTTCTGAGCTGTTGAATGAGAATACATTTGATTGTCTGCTCAAATCTAGTCTCACTACTTTTTCTTGAAGCTTGTAAAGGCTAGGACATACATATGTGCAAATCTAAATTGCACAAGAAAACTGCACTTCTTTTTCTTGCGCTGAAAAGGTGCAACCCACAATTTACTAGTTTTTATGATAATAATGTTTGCTAGGTCTGGGAATAGCACGTAGTTTGCTGCTTGCCATTTTTCTATTGAAGGCAGCAGCGAGCAGGTGGTGATTAAAATTCAGAATAAGTATATTTTAGAGAATTACATGCTAATGTCGATAAACTTACCCTTGTATTGGAAAGAAAGAAAACTTTTGTTTTGATTCAGATCAAGTAACGCTTCTAAGCACTTTTCCTTTTGCAAAATTTAATTAGGATTTCCAAAAAAAACCCCTGTTTCATCCTAGAGCTATACATTCAGGTAGACTGTAATTCATGTTTCGAATGAGATCATAGATCAATGCAGTGAAGTTGTCCCAAATTTCTCATTAATATGTGTTACCAGCAGGGTCCGGCACGAGGTCGGCAAATGCCAAGCTGGAAATCGTTTTGGGGCCAAAAAGCAAAGGGGAAATCGTCTTTGCGGGTCCGGGGCGGAGCCCCGGAAAAAATTGGTAGTTCATGCTCGCTACTTATCTTGACATGTTATGTGCCTCAACAGGCGAACACTGGAGTTCGCGCGCGTCAAACCGCGCCGTCGCTAATTGCCGCACGCGCGACGTCGCCCAAGCGATGCTATTTGCAACTGCATACATGGCTAGTTCTCAATGTATGTGTAACTATATGGCACCAAATTTTGTATGCGAACGGAGAGAGGCTAGTGGAAACATAGCATGAAAAATTATGAAATAATTATGTGAACGGAACGAGTAATTAGCATTTATTCCGAAAGTTTTGCAAAACTGGTAAATGAAGATGTGAATTCAAACGGCTAGTTTACAGCGCACTGATGACGATATGGTATGAAACTTGGTAGGTAGATGAACACGGGCCTGCAGGGCTTAACTTAGAAGTTTCATTGAAAAATTATGTGACTGAATGTTGTGGCAAGCTTTTGTCTGGAAATTTCCCACTATCAAGAAAATGGAAAAATGGCTCGTTTGCAACGCAGAGGAAACGAAATCGCGCGGGACTTGGTGTGTATATGCGCAATAGGACTAAGTAACAAAGTATGAAAAATTATGAAAAACTTATGTGAATGAAGAGTTTCCTTAACTAATTTCCAAATTAGGTCGGCATTTGCCGACCTAATTCCCACCTGAGGTCGGCAAAACTCTCAATTCACATAATTTTTTCAAATTCTTTACATAAATCTGTTGTACGCCTAAAGTTTACTAAAGTGCGGTTCATAATTATACGAACACCCCAAATTTTACAAGTTTTCGGATTTTTTGGAAGAAACTCAAAAAGCCGTTGGTACCGCGCGATAGAACACAGCCGAAAACGGTATATAATCCAGAGGAATGAAAATGGATGTCAATCTTAGGAGCGTTATTTGCGCCTAATGCGAATTTTTAGCGGTTCATAATTATACGAACACCTCAAACAAAGGTCCATTTTTCATTCAAGATTGCAATCATTTGGATCCAAATTCTTTGTAGAGTTACAGTAACAAAGTCTGACATATCTGCTACAGACTGAACCCAGTGCAGTTCGAAAAGAGAACCGTCACTTTTTTTAGAAGGCTCTAAATGCTTTTGGAGTGATTGCGCTCCAAATACATCTGTTCTTCTGTGGTTTACGGGCTCTAATTAGCTTCTACCAAAGCTATGAGATAAAATAAGCTCTTTCGATAGATACTTTGTTTGGCGCTCGGGAAATCCTTGCATTTTCGTGCCGTTTCTCAACCAAGTTCCAACCTTACCACAGACTTAGCACGATTTCGAGCCTCAAAACTCAGCTTCGGAAGCCCTACAATGAAGTAAGCAGATAGTATGTAGAAGCTCACAAGATTATGTATGTGGCTAGAAAAAATCAGCAGCGTTGAGCGTTTGTTTTAGCCACGCAGACGTTATTTCACCAAAACCACTGTTTTTACTATTGCAATCACAACTTTATTCGCTTTGTTGCTCCACAGCCGCAAGATCAGTTCTAGAAAAAACCCAAAAACTTTGGCACAGAAACATAATCATACAAGCAATGCAGCTGCTTAGTATCAAATGTTTGCGCGAGAAAGAAGCTGAGTTTTGAGGCTCGAAATCGTGCTAACTCTATGGCAAGGTTGGAATTTCGTTGAAAAACGGCACGAAAACGCATAGATTTTCCAAGCGTCAAACAAAATATGTATCGAAAAAGCTTATTTTATCTCATAGCCTTGATACAAGCTAATTAGAGTGCGTAAACCACAGAAGAACGTATGTTTTTGGAGCGCAATCCCCCCTTAAGCATCTAAAGCCATCTAAAAAGTAGCGATCCTCTTTTTGAGCTGCACCGGGTTCAGTCTGTAGCAGACATATCAGACTTTGTTACTTTAACTCTACAAAAAAATTTGGACCCAAATGATTGCAATCTTGAATGAAAAATGGACCTTTGTTGAGGTGTTCGTATAATTATGAACCGCTAAAAATTCGCATTAGGCGCAAAAACGCTCCTAAGATTGACATCCATTTCCATTCCTCTGGATTATACACCGTTTTCGGCTGTGTTCTATCGCGCGGTATCAACGGCTTATTGAGTTTCTTCCAAAAAATCCGAAAACTTTCAGAATTTGGAGTGTTCGTATAATTATGAACCGCACTTTACATGGTGAAATTTTGGTTCCGAAACTCCTCTTCTTGTCCTTGTTAGAGCCCAAAATCGCATCAGCAGCCTAGCTTTCAAAGATAGAAAGCGCGCCCCAGTCAATCAATACGCGCGGGAACGGCGTCTCTCATTCCTATGACTGCGTTTCTTTGATATTTTCTCATTCCTTAATCATTCTTCTTGCTTATTTTTCTTCCTGTTTTCTACTTTGATACAGCTGAGGAGTAATTTGAGGAATTTGAGCAATTTGGGCGCTTTTGAGCGCTTTTAGGCGAAGTGTGGCCGGTAATCTCGTCGTACAAGCACGAAACGTCATTTTTGGGCTCAAGGGGGTATTCGTAAAATTTATTGGGATCAAAGGGGAGTTCGTTTTGGAAAACCCCGTTTGCCCACCTCGTGCCGGGCCCTGGTTACCAGTGAGGATTTTTATTTAAGGATAATGTTCTATGCTTTTTGAAGGACATTTAATGCTTCTCTTCTTATCACATGACACTACTAAAGTTTCTGGTCCTAGTTGTCTTAGGGATTCTGACAAAATTGCAAAAATAGCTTGGTTCAATCTCGTTCAGTGTGAAATGCTCATTCATTGTGAAATTTTTCATTGCAAATTGTAATTGCTACAGTTTCCTCACAATCGTACAGTTATTAGTTCCTGGACCTTTGTTTAGTTCGAAATTCTCAATCAGATAGGTTGATCTAGACCTTGGCCATACCTCAGGCAATTTAATAGCGACGCGATTTGGCAATACTCCAATTGTCTATAACTCATCGCACGCGAATCCCGAATGCGTAGAGGGTGGGGCCTTTTATCAGTTTGCAAAAGTTGCACGGACCATTCATTTACGGTCTGGACATGGCAAAAAGCCAGATCGCGTCGTAACTGTAATCGCTTGAGGTATGGCCAAGGCCTTCAATGATGTCGTTAGGAAGTATGTTTGACCATTTGGCAAGCGGTAATGCTTAGAAGATATCACTACAATAATTTTACACGTAGGATGATCTAAGCACCGTTGCCGAACTTCTTCAATACAAATCTCTGAACAGAACTTGTAATGCTTTGCATGTCGTACGCTTTTTGATTCAACGGGGCAGCTCAAAGGCGACCGCTCGCACCCGCGACGCACTCTGCGTCTTTCTTAGAGCGTGCTCTCTGAACATTCCCTAGCCTTGACAAGGCCTTGAAGCCCCGCCTTCCAGCCGCCAATCTTGTTGAATCAAAGGGTATCTTGCATGTTGTTTGATTGAGCTCCAACATCGTATAAGAGATTTTTTTATTCTAAAGATAAATCTTTCTTTACAGGGTGCGTGAAGTGGTGGTGGCCGCGGCTACGGCTCTGTTCCTGAACGTGCCTCGGACGTTGATCGAAACGCAGCTCGGCCCGCTCATCGCCGACGTGCTCGCCTCGTACGGGGGCGAGTCGACGGCGGCCGTGTTCGACGAGTTGTCCGCCGAAATTGTCCGAGTTCTCGACAGTGAATTAGATTTCTTTCATCTTATCAATACTCTCAATTGCATACCAGATCCCTAAGCGCCCAAATATTCCCGAATTCACTTAGTTGTTGTGCATTACTCGTACTCGCTTTATCGTTATTTTCTTCCTTATATTTACATTCCCACTATTTAGGCCTTGAGTGCCTATTCCATATAGGCCTTTCCAAAATGCCTTAATCATCCCCTTGAGCCTTTTTTCCAATTATCTGTGTTATATTCTAGTTGTTGTACACATAGAATGTGATAAAGTAAGTGCCCAAGCTCTGTTATATTATTTTTGAAGTTGTTTTTGCTACTTCTATGCAATATTTTGAAACAAAGCCAATTATCCTTTGCAAGACACCCATAGTAGATGCAATAAACGAACTGAAATATTATATTTAGTACGATCTTCTGAGTTTCTATTAGACTGGATTAGCCTTCTTTATTATTTTGTCAGATCCGTGAACCCGGAATAAAATATGACTAGTTTGAGCGGACATTATTCAGTAGTTTTGCGAGCTACCACAAATCTTGTGTAATTTGTATCTGTTTATGATTCCTCCAATTTGTCTGCGTAGTCTAGCTATGGAATTTTTTTCGCATGAAAGTTAGCATTTCGCTTCTTGTGATGCAGCTCTTTTGTAAATAGTAGCAGAGTATACTTATGTGGCAAAATAAATTTAAAAGATGCCATTTTTTGCCATGACGCGCTGAATGCGAAAACCTTTGTCACTGAACTGTCGGTCCAACTCGCAGAAATAGCACATAGTTTGGGCTCTTGAGGGGTTACGGTAGCGGGTCGCTTACAAATTGTCGAATTCAGTACTAAAACTATACTTTGCGGATCTCGGTATAGTAAAAGAGTCAAGGAACATTTGTCTAACTTTTTGATACCGCACTTAAAACGCCTTTTAGCATGGGAGATCGGAATAAACTAGCGAAGGTACGGGCATTTCTGCCAAGTTAGATAAGACGAATAAGGAGATATAAAGACAGTAGTGGAAGAAATATGGAAAAACAATCAACACCCAGTTTGACTTACAGCTTCAGAATTGCCTCTGAATTTAATCGAGTTTTTTTCCTGTTGTTTTGCAAGTCTGTTTAATGATGGGTGATTACTCTGATCTACAATAGCTCGTTTTTCAACAATATTCTGGTTCATTTGTATCTGTAAAAGAGGAACAAACGCATCCTAAGATCACCAGTACCGAGCAAGCAGAACTCTATTGAACCTTTTTTGTACTTATTCTGGGCTCAATTTTTCTTTGCTTGGTTTTTTTTCTCCAAGTCGAAGCGTATAAAAGCAAACGATAGCCGGAGGGAAAGTCACTTGCATTGTCTGTTCTAAAATATAACTCAGAGTACCTTGCAAATGTGTAGTGATTACATGAAAAATAGTTCTTTGGCTTCTCAGAAATGGTTATAAAATCTTCACAAGAATTGTATAGTTTTTCCTTCAGCCTGTCGGCAGCAGTTAAGCCAAATGCAATGGATCGTGACGTTATATACTTTATGCGCAGATTATCTTAGGAAATTGAGCAGAAAGGGTTTGTTATGAATTTGTTCATCTAACACGAGATTCTCTATGTTTACTAATTTTTATTTGAAACCACTTCCCAAATTTTTGCAGGACAAGCCTTTCTTATCTTGAAAAAGAAAACCGTAAGACGTAATGCATATGTAAACCTTATTTTGGCTCCCGCTTTATATAATACAACCAAACTATTTTTGAGCGTACAATCAATGAAAAGTACTGGCATAGTCTGGGAAGGTATTTTAATGGGTTCATTCATAAAATAGTGCAAATATACGGGTGACCGATAAAAATGAGCATTCTATCTATATGCAACGATAAAATTGAGTTGTCCCGAAAGTTTTGTCAGTTTCTTTGATAGGCCACTAAAACTCACAGGACATTTATCCAGGGCTCGGCACGAGGTGGCTAGTTAAAAATGCAAAAAACGAAGTCCCCCTTGACTTTTGCGAATTTTTACGAAGTCCCCTTTGACCCTAGACAAGGGCTCGGCACGAGGTGGCGTCCCAAAACTGCAAAAAATGAAGTCCCCTATGAATTCAACGAAATTACGACATCCGCCACGAGATATCCGAAGAGAAAATACCATAAGAACGGAACAAAGCAACAGCAGAAAAAAAAAACGAAAAAGAATCATCGAACACACGCGATGATATTCATATTCTCCGGATTGGCGGCATGATGTATCCATCGTGCAGCAATACGCGCCTGAAGCAGCCTTTCCGCCGCCGCTCAAAATTTTCAAGGGGCTATAACTAAGCGGGGAGAAGGGGGTTTGAGGCGGTTTAAGAACCAGTTTGTAGGGTTTGGGATGTAGATGAAAATTATGTAAAGGAAGTAGAAAAATTATGTGAGGGAGAAAAAATTTATGACTTTTTCTTTTCTAAGCCACCTCAGGTGGCTATCCAGGTGGCTTGGAAGCCAACTAACTCCAAAAAAAGTTGAGCACGCCTTTAGTTCACATATATTTTTCATAATTTTTCATACTTAGTCCTAACTCCCCATTGCCCATCTACACACCTATTTTGGTGTCATTTCATCTTCACTTCGCTGTAAACAAACCTTTTGTTTATTTGCCTGTGGCATGCCGGCAGCGTGGCGGCCGCAGATCAAAAGACAACGTTAGCTCTTCCGCAAAAACGATATCCCCTTTGTTTTTTCCCCAGAAACGATATCCAGCTTGCTTGCTAAGCCACCTGTGCCGTGCCCTGCATTTATCTACGAACGGTTGGGGTTTCGTTTGATTCAGATTTCTGTCTTTTTTTTTGAAGGCTACATCTCTCTGATTTAAGCAGTCCCTGCCGTGTTAAACGAGAGCTCTCTGAGCAGTCAACAGCGACGCCAAGTTTTCTTATGATCTTTAAAAATTTTTATCCCAATATTTCAGAACAGTGCTGGTAGCGGTTTTGTAGAGTAAACATTTGGTTACATCATACCTACTTGCATATTACATTGATCTTGTCTTCGGAATTTGTAATAATTGTTTATTCAAGAAGGACCTCGGCTTTCTGAGCACTTGTAGCGCATAAGAGTATCGAAAATTCCAAAAAAGTGATTTTTCATAGCAAAACAAATTCGGTCATTATGCACAAATGATGTTTAGTGACAATTGAGTTTCAACTCTCTGAAACTTGGGTGCTTCCATGTTTTTGCTGCAGTTGTGTTTCATGACTTTATCAGAAGTTGAGATCTCTATAGAAATAATTTTTTGAAGTTCCAAACTGCAGACCAGAGAAGCTAGAATTACCTTTTTATAGTCCGGAATTTGCTTTATTTGAATCACACTTACTCTTTTCCGAAACTGTAGAGACTTAAGAATTAGCCGAACTTTAAGCAGAGAGAAATTGCAGGTGGAGGATTTTTGCAGCTATCAAAAAATGTTCACAAGATTTTAGAGTGAAAAGGTATCCTTTAGAAGGAGAAGGAAAGCTGCATTCAATGCATGCTCAAACGCATATAGGTGGACAGAGGTTGTGATGGAGGTTTTCACAGTCATTCGAAAAGGCAAAACTCAATGGACTCAATAAATAGGATGCTTACTATTCATCACGCTATGTGAATCGATAGGTTTTGCCATATTAGATACTAGCTGGCTTACCCGGCTCCGCCGTATCCGGACCAAACTTGGCACACATACACTTCGGGCCCCGGCGGGTGTCACAGTCCACTTTTCGTTATCGATCGATGTCGATTTTACCGATTTTTATCGATTTTTTTTGCAGAGTTCACCTACAGGGCTAGGAGTTGGCACAGGGGGGTAATCGAGCATGGGGATTCCGAATACAACATTAGTTTTCAGGATCGTCCATTACTTTTATCGATTTTATCGATTTTTTTTGTAAAGTTTGACCTGCGGGGCTGGGAGTTTGCACAGGGGGGTAATCGAGCATGCTGTTTACGAACACAATATTAGTTTTCAGGATCGTCCATTACTTTTATCGATTTTATCGATTTTTTTTGTAAAGTTTGACCTGCGGGGCTGGGAGTTTGCACAGGGGGGTAATCGAGCATGCAGATTACGAACACAATATTAGTTTTCAGGATCGTCCATTACTTTTTCGATTTTATCGATTTTTTGAAAATTTGAGCTAGGGGGCTGGAATTTGGCACAGGAGTGTAATCGAGCATGCTGATCATCCCCCTGGGGGTGATCAGCATGCTCGATTACCCCCCTGTGCCAACTCCCAGCCCCGTAGCTCAAACTTTGCAAAAAAATCGATAAAATCGATAAAAGTAATCGATAATCCTGAAAACCAATATTGTATTCGGAATCCTCATGCTCGATTACCCCCCTATGCCAACTCCCAGCCCCGTAGGTGAACTCAGCAAAAAAATCGATAAAAATCGATAAAATCGATATCGATCGATGACGAAAAGTAGCCTATGACACCCGCCGGGGCCCGAAGTGTATGTGTGCCAAGTTTGGTCCGGATCGGTTCAGAAATGGAATTTTCTATTCGGAACATACTACAGACATACATACAGACAGACAGACAGACAGACATACATACAAACAGACATTCAGCTTTATATATAAGATTTTTTCTTTCGTTTAGAGAACTGACAGAGACGAATGAACCTTGGTGTATTTAATGTTTGTTGTGTAAAGGGCAACGCAAAACGATCCGTGGTTACCCGAGGTAGCCACCAAGTCCGAGCCTGTGTAATATTATGTCTTTTCGGCGCCGCTGGTTACACTTGATTCTCTTTGCTGTGGTTATAGGCCGACTATTTCTTTGATGTTATCTGCTTGCCGTGTTGATCCTTCCCATCATTTTGCTTACTCGCAGGAATTTTAGCAGTTTAAGGATTTTCACGTTTTAAGCACAAATATTCTTGCTCTCGCAAATCTTGAAATGAAGTCGTTTTTGTTCAACTTATCTGTTTGAATTTTTCATGATGAGTATCTGTCAGGATCAAGGGGTAGCTGGACCCTTGCCTGAAGGTGTAGCGGTGTTACGGTGCGTCGAACATAGTGATATGTTTATTATTAGAGATACAGAATCTAGACAGAAGAGGTAGGGGGAAGGGGAAGGGGTGTGTGAGAGTGTGTGTTGAAGGTCTCCAGTCCTTTCTTATATGCAGGTCCGTCTTACAACATCAACGGCGGGTGGAGGCGGGATGAGACATTGCATAACAACTAATGATGTCTCTCGATATTACCTAATGTTATGCAATCTGATGAAATGATCTTCTGACATCTCCGTTCCTACAGAAAGTTCGTCCTCGAGCGTCTTAACAGGCTGGTTGAAATACTGATATTGGTTTTCGTTGAGCTAGCGGTTTGAACATAGTGAAGGGGGGATCAGGTGAGCTGTTGGCGCAGCTACGACCTTTTCCTGGTGGTACCTCTTGCAAGCGTTTCCACGAAGGCTTTGTCCAGCGCCAATTTTTCACCATTTTTCGTAATTACCAAATCGCCGAAATGTAGAATTATGAAGGTCCTATCCGCTTTCCAATTTGCTCCATTACACACATTGAACTGCTTACTATGCGTATTATGTAGAACACCTACAATAAAATAAATTACCATGACTGATAAAGAAAATTTTTCCCTAACTTACAGGAGAGCGTAACATGGTCACCATCATTATTTAAAATCATGATGGCAACATGAACCGGGTTGTTCGATTGAACTTTCAACCAGGTCTCTTTCACCTCCCCCCCTAATCAAAGAAGATAATACGATCTCTTCCTCACAGAGCGCCTCCTCCAGTAGTGTTTGAGGTTGACGTACAAGCTCTTCGTTGTACAAGAATAGACGCCTAACGTTATGCAGATCTTCGTTCAACTCGAGAACCTCCTGAAAAACAAACGCTCATATACAGCATCACACTTCCTTAACATTACCTTATTCAAATTCATGTTCCTTCTACGTTCCACAATTCTGGCCTTTTTAGCGGCCTCCGACTATGATTGAATGTGTAAAGGAACGTACGTGTTTCGTTCGAACTTCCTTTGTGATCAGTTAAGGACGGGGAAGAAGAAATAGGACGACGTTGAAGGGTGGGTAGAGGGGAGGTGGGTGGGGTAAGGTTTTATCCCGAAAGAACGAATGAAAAATAGTAGGTATTTTTGGAAGAAAAATTATTCTAAAGAAAGAATTCTAAAGAAAAATCTCACCGGGACCTCCATTTCAGGATTAAGGGATAGCTGGACCCTTGCCTGAAGGTGTAGCGGTGTTGCGGTGCGTCGAACATAGTGATTATATATGTTTATTATTACTAAAGATACAAAAACTAGACAAAGGAGGTAGGGGGAAGGGGAAGGGGAAGAGGTGTGTGTGTGTTTGAAGGTCTCCAGTCCTCTCTTATATGCAAGTCCGTCTTACAACATCAACGGCGGGTGGAGGCGGGATGAGACATTGCATACCAACTAAATATGTCACTCGATATTATCTAATGTTATGCAATCTGATGAAATGATCTTCACATCTCATCTCTCTTATAGGGATATGAAAAACATAGAAGATCAGCTCAAGGCTAACCTTGCTCATAATGAAGTATCCAATCTTTAACCAATCTTCTGCCGTAGATTTCGCATTGTTCATTGCAGAAGACTTGATGCGCTATATTTGGCTTATCAATCCATCTCTCGCACATTCCTTGTAGTACTTTCTCACGATCTTTTGTTGTACTTTTAATCTCTGTGCATTTGATAATGATGAGTAAATAGAGGCTGACACAGCAGATTACCAAAGCGCATAATATATTCACAGCTGACCATGACCGTCTCATCTCAATAAATATCTGTGCATGTTAACATATAATCGTTACGTCTTTATTGGCACCCTAATCTATCAGGGAAAAAAGAGAATCTCGTTTTTTCGGGTTTTTTCAGCTAAATTTGGTACTTGTCAGGAACTAGAACCACGAAGGCCCAAATTTCATGATTAAGGTCTCAAAGGTTTGCGTTATACAACTGTATGTATGGGCGTAGCCCAGGATTATTAGGGGCGGAGTTTGCCGTTATTTGTTTTTAAGTTTTTTCCTGATTTCTAATCGCGGAAAAATATGGCAAATGCACAAATGGATAAGGCATGTGTCTGCTGCATGCTGGAGCAAGTAAGAGATTCATGGGATTTTTTTGGGACGAAATCTAATTTTTGGCACTATGAGTTGCTTTTATGTTTTGGTTTTGTTTTTGGATAAGCCACGTCTTAAGCCAGTGTTCAGATGTCATCTTGTATAGCTTGCTTTGCTCTATCGAATGATACCCTTCACACATTTTTTCCGACTCGTTCTGTTGCTCTGCTATAAAAAACGACATTCTTTTCTTTCCAAACTAATAACTTGCTCGTTTTCTATCGCAACCATATCGAATTTTGTATGGGTCAATACAACTCGCTTCCTTCGAAGGCCCTTCGACATCATACTTTTAATGTTAGGAACCAGAGATAATCTGATGATTTACTGCACTGGCAAGAGTAGACGAGCACGGTATAAAAATGCAGTGTAATGTTTTTTACAAAAGAATTATGAAAAATTTTAGGTCACTCCTTCTTCCACCTTATGTAGTTGCGATTTTTGACTTGACAGCTAAGATGACAACGTAGGAGAATAGAGCGCAGTGTAGAAAATAGTGACGAGGTCTGGTTAGTGGTAAGATCAAGCTGATCACTCGCTATCTTCCATACCAAGTTTTACAAGAGATACGATTAACTTCGAAAGTTATGAGTCTAGCTTTTTACCGTGCCCCAATATCTGTAACAGAAGGTATGGGTTTTTAGTGGTAAAACCATTGTCAAAGGAAAAGGAAATGTTCCATTGCTTTTTCGTGTACCTGTGTACCCTTCAAAGATGTACATCGCGAAAGCTTCTCTTCTGTTATGCATTTGACCGTGCCTAATTTATCAGTCAGTTCATAAAATGTTGCTTATCTTAGGCGTTACGCAAGTTTTGGATCCTTCATTTGTGTATGCATGACCATCAGTGATGTGCTATTTCTGAATTGCGGCTCATTTCTGACCTTTCGCGACTTGAATCTTCTCTTAAATTACTGGTTATCAAGATATTCAAATTCTGAAGCGTTCTACTCTTTTGATATGACCGTAAAATTGAAATCATTCAATGCTTTTGCTGCATCCAACTCGTCTGCTTTATCTTCTTATCCTCTATAGATATATCTGCGTCTCTACAACTTAGTCAAGAGCCTACACTTTTCTATCGTGGTAACAAGAATTACTGTGCAAATAATGCTGATCTTTCTGGTATAATTTTTGACCCACCTAGTCCGATTTTTCTTTGAATCCATTCGTTGTCTGCATTCTCGACAGTGATCTGAATTCTTGAACTTCAGCAGGTCTCAGGTCTTTTCTCGTTAGATAATAGGGGAGCTAAAGTTTGGTTTTACAAGACGAAATTTATTTGCCCTGCATGGAAAAGGCTTTACGAACAATTCCATAAGCAATGCCGAATGGATGAAGCCATATCTTCTTATATATAAAGCTGAATGTCTGTTTGTATGTCTGTATGTATGTATGTATGTATGTATGTATGTACGTATGTTCCGAATAGAAAATTCCATTTCTGAACCGATCCGGACCAAACTTGGCACACATACACTACGGGCCCCGGCGGGTGTCATAGGCTACTTTTCGTCATCGATCGATATCGATTTTATCGATTTTTTTGCAAAGTTTGAGCTACGGGGCTGGGAGTTGGCACAGGGGGGTAATCGAGCATGCTGATCACCCCCAGGGGGGTGATCAGCATGCTCGATTACACTCCTGTGCCAAATTCCAGCCCCCTAGCTCAAATTTTCAAAAAATCGATAAAATCGAAAAAGTAATGGACGATCCTGAAAACTAATATTGTGTTCGTAATCTGCATGCTCGATTACCCCCCTGTGCAAACTCCCAGCCCCGCAGGTCAAACTTTACAAAAAAATCGATAAAATCGATAAAAGTAATGGACGATCCTGAAAACTAATATTGTGTTCGTAATCAGCATGCTCGATTACCCCCCTGTGCAAAATCCCAGCCTCGCATGTCAAATTTACAAAAAATCGATAAAATCAATAAAAGTAATCGATAATTCTGAAAACTAATATTGTATTCGGAATCCCCATGCTCACTTCCCCCCTGTGCCAACTCCTAGCCCTGTAGGTGAACTCTGCAAAAAAATCGATAAAAATCGGTAAAATCGACATCGATCGATAACGAAAAGTGGACTGTGACACCCGCCGGGGCCCGAAGTGAATGTGTGCCAAGTTTGGTCCGGATACGGCGGAGCCGGGTAAGCCAGCTAGTTGGGTTATAAAGCTCCTTCCTGTACTGGGACTGTGATATAATCAGATTATGACTGTCATTATAGCATTGATCGAAAGCAATCAAGCATTTTTTGCATTGCTGTTATATCGTTAGAACCTTTTGATTTTCTCATAATCAGAAACTAAAAAGTTCATTAATACTGGTAAAGAAGCCCTCGCTAAATTGGAGTCGAATTGTGCGAGCTTCATGGCCTTCAAAATTTATACCTCTAGAAGTTCCAAACTTTTTTTTTTGATATTGTGACCCAACAAAAATCTAAACTGAGATCTAAGAGGAGAATACAGTTTGTTTAAGCTTATAACCTGAAGCAGCGGCTAAGTCTTTACTTCAAAAAATCGATCAATAAAATAGCATGAGGTGCTCCCTTAAAAACCCCTGATATTGTTCGCTACTGCTTTGCGAGTGTAATACATTATTTACACTTAGTACAATGGCTTGCTGTATAGAGAGACTGTTCGAGTGGATTTTTTTCTGAGATTCTATTTTTGTCCAGTTAGTGTCGCTCATTGCAGTATGCAGTACTACATAATTCCTGGTGTAATTTTACGAGTCGTCTCATGAATTTTCGCTTTCTTTGCGCAAGAAAATTCTAAGAGATATATGTCCAGTAATATATTAGCAGTTCTCGATATTCAGGCTGGATGGACGTGAGCGGCCCACTGGCGGGCATAGCCGTCAGTGCGACGATCGCGATCGTCGTGGGTGCCCTTCTGACTGCACCTCTTCACCCTGTCATCGTAAATGCCGTCTTCTTGGTCAGCGTCGGGACGGCGATGTTGATGTATAGTCTTTTGATGAATATCTCTATGATAGAGCTGCCTTTATTTCTGTGGAGGATAGTATTTAATTCGCAGAGTTCGCGGTGAGTTTTGCTATACTTGAGATTGTAAATGTGACAAGAAATGAGAGATGAGGATTAAATGATTCGATTGAGGAAAACGGTTATTTGAATGAACAGTTCTTTCTCAAAGCACTCTAGTTTTGTTAAAGAAATTTTCGCGGTGGGAATTGGTAAGCCTTGTCTTCTGATATCTAGGTAAACGATCCATTAAATTGATGGACCGAAGGAGGAGAAAAGCGGACCTATCTCCCCCTCCCTCCCTCCCGGAATGAGTCGCGAAATGTTTGAAAGAGCCTACATGTATGAAGTTGACTGGCTTGTTTTCACTTCTCACTTGTAGATAATTGAAACAATTTGTTTTGTAGAAATTCAAATCAGCGAATTTCTTTTTTTCGAAGCGTGGCTGCGACCACGCAGCCAGGGCTCAGCACGAGGTGGTTTTGGAAAACGCAGGAAACGATGTTTCCCTTGACTTTTGCGAATTTTTACGAAGTTCCCTTTGACCCTGAACCCTAATCGTAAGAAAAAACCCTTAAAAACGTAACGTCGACTAAGAAAACTTCGCTATTTTTGTCTTTTCGACCACAAAAACGATACCTCTTTGCTTTTTGTCCCAAAAACACAATATCCAGAAGCTTACAAGCCCCCGTGCCGAGCAGCCCTGCACGCACCTTTTCAAAATTTCGCTATTATGGTTCCGAAAAAGAATTAGTAAAGCATCATCGCTATCATCATTGTTCCGGAGGGAGTTGCGTTAGCCCTTTCATTGAAAAAATTCCAGTTTCCCCTACCCGAAAACTCGGACTCATCACTGGTCTAGTTGATCGCAGAAATCGTTAGCTTTTACTATAGAGACCCATGTCCGTCAAGGATCTTACAGACTTCTCAGAGTACCAATAAATTCAGGGAGTCTTCAAAATTAAGTGATTTTGTATTCAAAGAGAGTAATTTTCTTGATTTTTTCTATCCATGTGCTGCACGAGGCATATGAGTTATTCACATGTTTATTTGCGTACATTTGCATTGAATTCATTCACTACATATAAAAATCTGAGAGTAAATGAGAAAGATTAGAAGACTAGTATATTTGTTCCGAATTCTTGGATCTATTTCGTTATTGCATTTTTTCAGATATTTGTTATTGTTGTTCTGGAGCTTTAATGTTCTTGCATCGATAAGTTTCGGTGTTTTTGTTACGGTTCGAGGTAGTAGTACTACTATACATAGGTGAGTAGATTCCACAGTTTCATTCAGTCCGGTGTAGATAAGGGCAATTTCAGGAAGTTCTTTCATTTGACCTCATCTTTGATATTCTTATCTGGTCTCTTTTTTGATCGCGATTTCATTTGGTTAAGCGGCTGGTTGATGCTTTGCATATTTGTTATCATAGAGGTAAATCTTTTTTAGTACTTAATTTTTTGATTTGTAAACTTGTGCTCTACAGCTTCTGATATTTAGACATTTCGCTTCTTCGAAGTGCCACCATGGGAAGAAACTTTGAACAATTTTCTACTCGTATTTAAAGACGAGCAGGACTCCATGTTATTGCTTACCCCCATCTACCTCCTTTTGGGTAAGAGTCAATCAATTTTTGCTGAATTTCAACTCTCATTTTAGGTATCTGGATCCCTCTATTTCTCTCCCCCAATGATAAATACGTACATCTCTTTCATCTCGCAGGTGTTGCCTCTGTAGGTGTCGGTGACAGCATAGCTGCCATCATAGGATCCACATATGGAACGACACGATGGCCTCGGTTTGTTAGCATTTCTTTACGTACAAAAAACATCAATAAAAATTTTTAGAACAAGAAAGACTGTCGAAGGCTCAGTAGCAATGGCTGGTTCGATAGCCGTCTTTCTCATCGTTGCCAGGTTTTTCTGCTCACCACCATATCCATCTTATCCCAGAATCCTCTTCACATCTCTGATACTCGCTGCTATTGAGGCTTTCACTGTGAAGATCGACAATATCGCTCTTCCAATTGTGGGATACCTCCTTCTGCAGTGATTATCATAAATGCCAAAAAATAAACGAGTTATTTTTAAAAATTATTTGTGATGTGCGCAAACTGTGAATTATGGAAAATAGGATATGCAAGGAGCACTTCGCATATTAATTTCGTCAGATAAATAAGTTGTTAGGGGAGTACGATTGTGAAGGTGGCACTTCCCTCAAAAAAGACCCAAAAAGAAATTTGAATCTTAATCTGGAAAACTCTGTGTATTTTTCTACAATCTTCGACGGGAGTCTCTACATTAAGTTGCTCTGTAGGTGTTGCATCAAAAATCGGATAATACAAAAATGTAGAAATTTGTCCGTCTCTAATACAATCTTCTGGTTGTTTATAGTGAATGTTCCTTCTTTGTATATTAGAAATGTTTACTCGAGAAATCTAAGTACTTTCAGAAATCGCTGACGGGCACAATTTTTTTTGGGTGAAGGAACAGGTCGAAAAACCCTAAGAAATTATGCAATTGAATTATATGACTTTCTACCATTTTTTTGTAACGCGACTTTGAATGAACGATTTGAGTCTTTCTCTTCAACAGCTTCTGTCGCATTAATCTGCCAAAAACGTTTTGTGTTTAGCACACTTTCTGAATATCCTTGATTTCTCCTTCTAAAATAAGCCGAATCGAACAAATTACTGCAAAAACCACAATACTTCAATGGTGCAACACTAGTGGAGCAACCTTATAGGTTATAGTAATCCTTACATTATAAGAAGCCTCGCAAAATTTTTTCGAACTTTTTCTTGGCTGTTCATTTACGTCTTCAGCGCCATATGCCGTTTCATGATGTGCAAGCATTTTGTGGAGGCTCAGTGGGCCCTATGCACCTGGATTTGAACAGAGTGGTCAAGGCTCGTCCGCTTAGAACATACGACGCAAGTTACCATACCACTTGTCTTAGCGTGCGCTGAGCGAATAATCAAATACTAAGCATCCAAATGATTTAAAAGAAGCATCAAAGACTACAGAAACAAATCACTAACGATAAAGCAGACTATCACTAAACTACCAAACTAAACTATCAAACAGATAGCTCAAACACGGAACGAGCCGCCCCATCCCGTACTACCGATGGTAATATAAATCCCGAATATGTTGATGCTCCCGAAACTTCGTTTACACAGATCCGCCTCGCGTCGCCGAGGCAGAAGCGGCAGCCTCTCCGGTTCCGAGGTTCACAGTGCACTATCCTAAGGCCCAAAAGTCCCAAAGGTGGCTCGTCCGAAGACAATCCCGAATCCGACTCGAATTTCAATCCGCTATGTCCGATATGCTCGACCGCTACTGCGAAAGTGACATTAAGCGCGGAAGTTAAACTGCCAGGTTGGAGCAGAATGAAATACATGAGAAAAGCTCATCGATCAAAAACGAAAGCAACACTGCAATAAGGCATCGCCGCTGTATATAGCCGTTTTGCTGGCAAACCGCCAGAGCAAAGAAGGGTTCGGAAGCGATTGCGGCAAGCGTGAGAAATACCGTGATCGTCGCCGGAGCGCGGCAGAACCAGTGCTCCAGCCCCTTTTAGAAGCGCTTGTATCGCTGACCGCAAGATATTTGTTGGATCATAAAACCATAATGTTCACTTCAGTTACAAGAGTTGGGTATAAACTCTGGGTCTGGTGTGTGTGCGTTCGTGTTTTACTGTTAGGAGAGTCTTGTGTCATAACAAATGACATATAAACCTTTATTAAGAGACAAATGAAGTCATGTTTATTTGATAAAAGTTTTGTTGTCGTTATTTTTCCGACGATAAACAAATCAGAGGTATTGCGACTGTGCAACGTTTGCTGAAACTGAACTTTCTTCAATTGTAAGATCAATGCTTGAACAAACTCACATGCGTACAAACTTTGGGAGACCACCATTGGTTTCCCTGCTGCATCGGAGCGAACAACCTCGTACAGATTTTCAGTATTGGTACTGCCTTGTGTTCTGAGCACCCCTGGTTCGACGACTTTTGCTGCCATTGTTGCGTTGAATGGTACAGCTGTCTTTGACTCTTCTTTTTTGCTTGGACCTTTCTCTTCAGACATGTCCGTGCCAATGTCATCACCGTGATCTTTGAATGAGAAGCCTTGCTGAAAATTGGGTCTATGTGTTGACTGACAAAAATAAATAATGGGATGGAAAAAGAGGTCACTATCTTCTTAATATGCACTCTGCTAAAAGAATCTTTTCTGCCTTCGCAAGCGATACAGAAGGTTTGCATTTTTAGAGCTGACATTTACTGGTACCGGATTTATCTCTGAGAATGGTTAATAGTTTACATGAGCTTCAAAATTGTGTAGGCGACTTGCTTACCTGTTTATAATTAGTTATGTTTTAAAAATCTGGAATGGCATTGTATTTTTTTGTGGTGGAGCCCTCAAAAATTTCGAAGGCGTGCCCAAAATTTCCTTGGAAGGCTAGCGCAACACAATCTTACTCAAAAAATTCGTGTAGCTCCTCTTCTTTCCACCTTCTCACAAAAAACTCTGGGAGCTGCATTGATGGCTAGCAATTTGGATGCCTATTGCTTACTCCTCGCATAAAGTAATTCTAGGCATGTGTGGTTCTCCAAACGAATATCGACTATCAGACTATTCTTTCCAGCATATCTATAAACATCATTGTCTTGTAAGTAATCTTCTTAATTATCTTTTTGCCTTCGCGCTAACCAGCTTTCTCTGTAGGTAATGGTGATGTTTAGTTTTTTTATGCCTTGAAAAACAGTTTATCGGATCTGAGTGTGAACTCCAGAGTGTGACAATATATCATTTCTTTACTAATTTTAAAAACTGCTTCTATTTTACGGAATTGTATCATATGAGTTGCAAAGAAGTGGTTAATGCACTACAGCCTCAACAAAGTCCTTGATAGCGGATAGTTAAGTTTCGGGCGGGAAATGCATAATATTAGGTTGGAAACAGGGCCCGGCACCGATGGTTTGGGGTCAAACTGGACTTCGTTTTTGGAGTTAGAAGCAACGGGGACATCGTTTTTAGAACGCCCGTAAAAGGGCTCGGACCTGGGAGGAGTTGCAGGTGCGCTCCATCGCCATTTCGATTAGAGCGTTTTTTCAACTGGAGCGCACTATCTCCAAACACTTCACATTTGGCGCCGTTCGTAGATAGCGATGAGTACGCGTTTTTTTGCATCCGAGAAAATTTGGCATGTTAACGTACACGCTAGTCAGAGAGTCAAAAACTATTTCGTTGCTGTTAAATGGTTTTCCTGATTCGTTGGTGCTCTTCCGAAAAGGAGACTTTTCGCTTTATGGAACATCCCGCTTGCAGAGAAGCAAAGCTTGGGGCAAATATATCCACATTATACATTATATATCATCAAAGGATGTTAATGTATTATTGCAATGCATAGCTCTCACTAAAGTCAGGAGACTGACTGGAAATGAGATGGTAGTGCTGTTTCGCGGTGATAGAGAGGAAGTTGCCGAACAATGTAATCTGTCATCACATGAAGTGCTAATGGGCATCGGGTTCAATCTAATAGTTTATGCAGTTTCTTTTTCTGGTTGTCTACACGGAAATGTGTTCGCATATCTTTAGATGTGATGTTAGCATCTGGTAGGGATCGTATGCTGTTTTCTCGATTGCCTTTCTCGATGAAGCTAGTGATTCGTTCACCATCAGCGAATTCTACTGATGAACATCAAAGGTATTGTGCAAACGATACAAAGCAAGTTGATTGATAAGTTGTGGAAGAAAATCGCACAACATAGAAGAAACTTACTTGAATCTGGTTGCACTCTGAGCAGAAATTGTGTACATAAACGAGTTCTTGGCTACTTTTGAAGCCCAAAATCATTCTGATCCTTTTTGATAACGTTGCTTTCATAGAGTGCTAAGCACTACATAGCAATTTTCCCTGGATGCGTCTCGCGCACCAGTCTAGAATTGAGTACAGTAACATATTTTTGAAGAGAATCCTAGGTGACCCCTTCTTTGTAAATTGCATTAAGACTAACGCCTGTTCAAGCGTCGAATCATTGTGCAGCTACCGCTTCAAATTGAAGATTGGACAAATGACCTTCTTCAGGTCATATGTGAACTCCGAGCCAACTTTGGCGAACGATCCTAGCTGTAACAGCTCGACAAGTATAGCTCCACAAACAAAGCAGCTATACCGTCTGCGCCCCAGAGAGGTTCCCATATGAACCAGCGTGCGTACGTGGTGCGACGCTGCCTTTCGCTCTTTCTGACATCTTCCTCCTGAGATTTCAACGGAAGGCCGAGGTTAACACATTCAAAAGACTATGGGAATCTTGCTGGGGAACGAACGATACATAAGAATTCCACGAAAGCAATTCTTCAAATAATTGTAGGACATCAATGTCAGCTTGATCATGTAAGTGTGGAAACGAACAATAGAATATAACGTACATTGGAATCAGTTACTTTTAGGGAGTTCAAAAAGTGTTGGAGGATGATGTTGGAAGAGGAAGCAATCGTAACAGTGATTAATACACTGGTGTAACTTGTTGCGTTACATACTTCAACAACTTTCTCTAGTTTACCGGATAACATGTAGCCATCTCTTCCTCAGTCAATCTCATGACTCGTACTAGTAGCCGTGCAACAGTCATACATCAGCAGCCTTTCATCACCGGTGACACTCCTTTTCAGATGCACAAGTATTTAGAGATAGTGCGCTCCAGTTGAAAAGAGGTGCTCTAATCGAAATGGCGATGGAGCGCACCTGCAACTCCTCCCAGGTCCGAGCCCTTTTACGGGCGTTCTCGTTTTTATGAGGTCCTGGAGGAAGCGCCAAAAAACACGACGAACATGTCAGGTTTCACGAGTTGAACGTGTTCTTTCGCAAGCCCGCGAATTTCAAATGCAAGACTCAAACAAACAAATGGCTTGTTTACAGAGCACAAACAATCACATGGCTCCGAATTTGGGCTATGAGTATACAATATTACTCCAAACTATGTTATGTAAAAAGTTCCCAAAACTTATGTGTCTGAATACCCGTTCCGGATTTGTTGGTTTCTAGACCAACCACCGAACCAACTGGGTTGGTTCGGAGCATAAATTTCGGAGAGTTCACATAAGTTTTGGACCTTTTTGATTTGGACGATTAAAACGCTCAAAAATCTATTATATAGTGAAGAGAGCGAATCAAACTATTGCCTCTCCTCTTCTTTTGAGCCAAAAGTAGTGCAAATCTATACGCCTTGATTGATATTGCGCTCCAATCACACGCGGTGTCCTTTGAACTATGTGGCGAAAAACGCACTGCCAGATTGTTGAGGCCACAGATTTGGTTGGCCTAGGAGGTTCTCGACATTCTGAGCGCTAAAATGGTACACTGTCCAATGAAAGAGCCTTTAATCAACTCGAAATGTTTTCTTTTTGCTATTTTGTTGTATTAGTTACCTCAAAATGCGCTTTTTTCGCTTTTTTAATGTTATTTTGACTAATTAAGGGTTTTCCTACTGATTTTTACGTCAAGAGGGACTTCGTAAATTTTCGCGAAGTCATGGGGGACTTCGTTTCCGGAAACGCTTCAAACCAACGCGTGCCGGGCCCTGGTTGGAAACTAAGTTTTGCAACTGGTCTCATAACTTCCCTCTCACTCAACATGGCGCACTCAAATTTTGCCACTGCGTTGGTTATTATGTAAGCTACAAGCGCAGCTGCTGCCCTACCAAATCCTGTCGTCGCAGTGAGAGTTACGGTAGGTGCACAATATGAAGGGGAAAAATTCAAAGTTTGACGGATTCGGCTGAAACTTGGCAAAGGGGTGTTATCCGACATGCTGATCACGAAAACGATAGTGTGCGTGAAAAGGGCTTTTCTGTAGGATTACTGTAGGTATACGATATGGGGTCTCACCCTAAACAAGGAAAAAGGCGTTAATTCAACAAATGAATGTGATATTCGCGTTTGGCAGGTCAAATAACTTTACTATGTAAAGTCTCGGCGGAATTTGAGCTTCGGACTCTCTAGTCGTTGACGGTCGTCCCCAGCAGCTCTTGCGTACATCGACTCATTCGACTTTATGAGGACGCCAAATCTCGGCATGCCCCTAAATTTTGTTTCTTTCTTAATAGGCCAAAGGAGTCAACCTCTAGCAATAATTTGTAGACGAATCCGGATTACTGCGCATGGTCTAGGCTGCCAAAGGCTTCATTTTAGCTTGAAACCCCAGAAATTCTTAAATTTCACTAGTTTTCGAAAAATACCTGAAACTTTTCTATTTCGTGTTCAAAATTTATGCAGTTTGTGCTCACTTGTAGCTCACATTGGATTCTACATACTGCCAAAGTTTGAGTGTGCCACGTTGAGTGAGAGTGAAGTTATGAAACCAGTTGCAAAACTTAGTTTCCAGCTTAATATTAAACGACTCAAGGTTATTTGTGTGTAAGGTAGCACAACATCATGCCGTTGTTGCCTTAACTATAACGGTGGAAAAACGCTAGATCTCATAAATATGAAGTACCGAGCGAGCAGATACTTGCGATTCAAATCTCAGCGTGCTATGTTTGCTGGCGAAACCAAGAAAAAGAAAATCCTCTGTAGTTTTTCCAACTTGTTTCTGGTTTGAAAGATATCAATGCGGGTTTCGCGCTTCCCCCTTTATAAACTTGTTCCAAAAAAAGGAGCTTTCATAGAAAGATGCTTAAAAATATTTCATGTTTTTTCTTGTAGAGTGTATCCATTTTGCAACACCGTGGAGTAGAACAAGAAGCTCAATTTTGAAAATCAAGAAAAACATATTGTTGCTCTGAGTCCACGGCAAGAGATTTTTTTTAATGATGAAGCGCATAGAGATTGCGGAAAGCTGTGCAACAAAATGCACATCAAGGCTTCCACCAATTTTCAAACCGAAAACTCTCATCGAAAATTGCACTGTGGTTGCTGTCCATGTGCCGTGATTGTTCCTAAGTTCAACCAAACTTAACAAAACAAAAAGCCCTCCAAAATCGCATTCAGACTTAAAATTTCGCGGACACTCTGTAAGCATCAGGCGCTGGAGAAAGCAGGAACAATCTACAAATTTTGTGGAAGGAATAGCCTTCAAAGCGCTAAAGCCACATCCTTCTTTCTAGTACTATTTTCAGAGAACGATACTCCAAATTTCACTTGGTTTTCATCATTATATTAGGTTGGTCCGAAATTTCCGTAAAATGTAAATTTCTTTCATGTATAATTTTTTTTCAAAAAGAAAGAGCCTTCTAATTCCCAGAGCATCTTAACTAGTTTCTCGTAAACACTGTTAGATAAAATTGATTGGAAAAGATTATGCAAGCTTTGATTATTTTGAGTTGGGAAGCCAAAAATCTCAGCTGCAGAAAAATCCGAGGTTGTCATTCATGAGTTTTATAACCCACATTTTGCAACTGTGAAAATGCTGTTGGACGTTTCTTCAAAGGTTATGAATTTCGAGTTTACTATAGAAAAAGCCAAAATCAATTGATTTGTCACTTTTCCGAAGATTATAATTTTCCAAGAAAGCGTCAAAATCGCACAAACTTTTTTCATTTGCAAAAAAGAGATTAATAAACTTAAGTACTGACGATTTCAGAATTTTTTGCAGCTTTCCGGATTTTTAGTGAACTAAGTCGAAATGATCAAAGTTTACGTAGTCCTCCTTTACCATCTCTATTTCCGCAGTCAGTGCGAAACAGAAGTTCGTCAAGACAGCAAGAACTATCGTTTCTAACAGAATAACAAACAAGCGAATCGGTTAAGACACCGCGAAGTTACAAGTTTTTGAAAATGAAACTACAGAATTTTCTGACGAACCTAATATTTGAGCATTTAATCAGAGGTCAGAAAAACTGCAGCTCTCATTTTGCTCAAATGCTCTTGATGGCATTGTCTCTAGGAGAATGCTACTTAACTAACATCTGCTAGGAGTGTGAAGCATTAAGTTCATTTTAATTTACCTTTACAGATGGAGCGCTTCGTGGTTGCGAAATCACTCTTCCAACACTGCCTTTTCTGGGCTGGAAGTTGTCTGCTTCTTGGAGATCGCGAGACGCTGAAAAATGACTAAGCCTGTTAAATCACTTTGTATATACGGTAATTTGATGGGAATGCGCTTTCACGTTAAATTTTCTAGCTTTACTTTTCGTAACATAATAAGTAAAGAAGCACATGATAATTGAGAAATATTCCTGAACACACTGAATAGGAGCTTTGAAGCATTGCTCATCTTCTGTGAAGTTCTCAAGTATTTTGTAGTGGCAATTCTATGATGCCAAAATAAAGGACCACATGCACCAATATTTCTTCCTTGTCTCTACTACTGATCCTTGTTTACTGGAAAAGCGTAAGAGAGTGTTTTACTTTCTCGAAAATGGCCGCACAATACGGTAATGTGTAAGGATCACCGGATTTGTCCGAATTGCCGAACTTCGCGTCACATCGCCATATCTTGCTTCAGAGTGGACTTCTGAATTAAGCACCATTGAACTCACTCAGTTCGACGAGATGCATCTTCCGAGATACACAAGTGCCTGTTTGGGCACTTTATTCGGTCACATACCAAGGATCTCTTAGATTTTCGCTCGCGGTAAGTTACAACGCTAATTCATTGTACAAAAAGTGATCTACTGCAAGCAAAAATCCGGAAAGATCTGTGAAATTTGACCGAGTACCATGCCCTTAACAGGCACTTCTACATAATAAAAGATGCACCTCGTCGATCTGATTTGATTATTTTTAACTCAGAATTTGTCACTTTGAAGCAGAATATGACGATAGGACGCGAAGTAGAGCTCCGGCGAAGTGCGGTGATTTTTTTCACACATTACACCTCTGTAGAGGCTAGAATGTATTCCTACAAGTATTTGAAGAACAAGTCAGTCTCATGCACGATTCGAGCTTTCAATGCACATCAGTCTTATGGTATTGGTCCTATTAGGTTGCCTCATAAATTTTTTCAGCTTGATTTTTTTCCCGCAATAAGTCACTTTGTCCATTCTAATTGAGATGCAGAGTACCGGTCGATAGAGCAAAGAAGCTCAGATGCATGTACAGTCGAGTAGATTTAGCGGTAATTATAGTGTGCTTGCACAGAAGGCGAAATGCGGTGAAATTTGCGCGTGAACAAGTAGCCACGTCAGTAGCGCGGGTATCTTGCGCGCGCAATTGGCCGGCGTCACAGTCGAAACTATTTCTTCACGCGCCAATTTTACCGCATTTCACCTTCTGTGCAAGCACATATATTTACCGCTAAATCTACTCGACTGTAAATGTTCGCACCAGCTTCAGCACATCACTAATGAAGCCGAAATCTGCGAAATCTTTCGGATGCCCAAAATATTGAAAATCCTTCAAATTTGTCTGCAAAGAAAACTTACCAGATCCCAAGCTTGCTCACGCACACACACTTCACATAAGACGTTCATATGTCCCGTTGCTGTGTTCGTTTCTGTGCTCGAAATCGAGACAACTAACAAGGGAACCGTGTCAAGTCGAAGTGGCCTTTCCAGATGAGACCCACACTGCTTTGAAGAGTATTAAGCGGTGATTCCAAATCTGCCTTCCAAATCTGCCAAGCGCCTCTGAACGCCGAGTTATGACCGTTCTTCGGAACGAAAAATGAATGAAGAATTTAGGTAAAATTGATTGTTACAATCATTCCAGCGCTCAGATAAAGCAATGTTAAGTATTAGCATATTAAATAAAGTGTATTCATTGCGTAAACAGCTCTGATACTTAACACTGGACCATTTGAGCAAATTTGGGCGATTTTGCTTCAGTTTTGCGTTCAATTTTTTGACCTGAAAAACGAGCACAACTCGGCGTCCACAGGCGCTTGGCAGATTTTGAAAGCAGATTTGGAATCACCGATTAATGCTCTTTAAAGCAGTATGGGTCTCATCTAGAAAGTCCACTTCGACTTGACTCGGTTCCCTTGTAAGATTTTCAAGCTCCCCAAAAAAGCAATGCTGCACTGTTCCTGCATAGGTAAATGTATGCTACAGGTTTTCAGAAATACATAGGTAAATTTTCAGCTTTCTAGAAGCGTTCGTAAGAAATACCAACTTCAGCTCTCCCTGCTAGGGTATTTGATGTTAGAGTCATTATTTTTCGGGAACTAAAGCTTATAAAAATGGAGATCTGTGATTGTACTTCTAAAAGCTTGTGATACACATTTACTTATGTGAGAATGAGAAAAGCTTTTTGGAAAGCCATCGCTTTTTGAAAACTTGAAAATTGTAGTTTTCTCTGTTTCTAGCCCAGAAACAAGCACAGCAACGGCATAATTGCGAATGCCTTATGTTTAGTGTATATGAGTAGGCCAGTTTCGGATCTGGTAAGCTCTCTTTGGACAACTTTCTCTTTGTAAGAAATTTTCAGTTTTTCAGGCATCTAAAAGTCATCAGGTTCCGACATCTACTTCGTGATGTGCTGAAGGCGATGCGAACATTCATACGTCGTACTTACAGAGCATGCTTTACTCTATCGGACGGTACCCTTCCTCATTAAAATTGAGAAGTATGTGACTTATCGCGGTTAAAAGCCAAAACTGAAAAAAACTTATGAGACAACTCAATAGCTAGGTCATGCAAGATGATGCGAAGGCTAAGTTTAGACTTTACCGATGATCTGGGAACTTACCTATTGAATTATTTGCAAGTCATACGAAAATCCTCAAAGGATCTCAAGTCAGTTTGCTTTCATTGTAATTTGTAGTATTTGATGAAGGAAAACCCAGCTACCTTGTTATGAACTTGAAGGTCGAGGATATCCTAGCTTTCACTACGAAATCGAGAAGCATTGCGTGCGCACCTCACTTGCAGAGGGTTAGCTTAAAGGCAGTGTCCGGGCAAAAACTCGATTTTTAGAAAATCCACTTACCGGGGTTATCCGCAACTGAATCCGAAAATCCACATGAGAAGGCGCGAAAAGGGCGAGAACATAGGTTTTCCAAAGCCGCACAATTTGAAATGCGACCGTCCCGCCAAGGCAGAGACGCAGAGTCACTCCGGGACCCTACGATTTTTAACTGTTGCGGCATGCGTACTCTGCCGCATAGCAGGAACTCGGACAGCCCGGAGGACCCCGCTCCAAGGCATAAATTCCCCCACTTTCTGACCGTTTTTCTTGCTTTAGGTCTAGCGTTATGGTGTCGCACTTGTGCGTTGTGTCTGAAGGGGTCACTCTTGCATGGCACTGAAATCCCAAAACCCCCATCTTGCCCGGACACTGCCTTTAAGTTTAAAGTTTGCTGCGATTTGTGATAGCAAGTCAGAAAATACCTGAAGATTCAAAGCTACCGCGGAACGGCGGAGGAGCAGTATTAGTTGAGCGACGCGGTGATGCGCGCATGTCTTCACCGTTGTAAAACTTGCACCTCATGTGCTTTGCGGCTAATAAAGCCGCGTTCGCGCCCAAAGATATTGCGCTTTCGTCATGCAGCAGCCTATATGTTGTTCAGGTTCAGGCTATACGTGGCAAATTGCTGTGTCAAGGTCGCCAATGTTGCCAGTATCTCCTGCTTTCACCTGACGGGGTTGCTACAAGGGAACCATGTTTTCGAAGCTTTTTCAATGGGACGTGAACCAAACTGCAGATCATAAACCGCCGATTTCAAACCTGCTTTCTCTGCGGAAAGTATGTGGACGAGGAGCTATGAGTATTTATTTGAGCGAAAAATCAAATGGGCATTTATAATAAAACGAATTGCAAATTACTAGCTTCTGAATGAAGCGATTTAGAGTAATATATTTCCTTATCTGAAAGTACTTATTGAATAGGGTGCTCTGATAATCATCACTGCTTCATTAAAACGCATGATGTGGTATGATATGTGATTAAATGTGGCATATTTTTTTTTATCTTCAGTGTTTTTCGAATAAAGTGCTCTGATGATGATCACTGCTCCATAGAAGAGTTAGAAAAATATTACGACATGTTCTGTCTTATTTGCACATGTAATTTTTGTTCTAAGGCTTTAGCCATATATCCGTGTTACCCTTGTTACTAATGTTACTCGTGTTGTTGCTCGGGTTACCCATGTTGTCAGTGTTACTCGTGTTACTAGTGTTACTAGTGTTACTCGAAATGAGACTGTATTGTGATCATTTCACTAAACAACTGCAATAAAAGAGGTAACACTAGCAACACTAATTTTTTTTCCTTGCATTTTCCCGTCACGCGGGGTCTGCCGCTCTCGTTAGTCTTCTCCATTCTTCTCGGTTCAAGGCTTGGTCTTCACTTATTTCAAGCTCTCTCATATCTGCTTTGACCTTATCCAGCCATCGCATCTTAGGTCGTCCTCTCGGCCTCTTTCCTGGCACATCCACTGATAGGGCCAGTCTCGTGATGTGGTCTTCTTCTCTTCGCCTCACATGTCCATACCATCGGAGACGTCTTTCTTGAATTTTCTTCACGATTGGTGTGACCTTCATTACGCTTCGTATCGTATCATTCGGAATTCGGTCTAGCATCGTCACTCCTGCTGTCCATCTCAACATTCGCGTCTCCATTACGCTAATCTTTCTCTCGTCGTCGCGCGTACATGGCCAGCATTCGCTACCATATAGTGCCGTTGGTCGTATCACTGTACGGTATATCACGGACTTCAGCTTTCTTGGCATTCGTCTATCGCATAGGACTCCTGTGATACTTCTCCACTTCATCCATGCTGCATTGACCCTGCTACATATCTCGTCGTGGAGGCTGCCATCTGCGGAGATACGGCTTCCCAGATACTTGAAGGAGGTCGTCTTTTTGAGTAACGTGCTTCCGATCTGGATAGTCCCTGCTGTCTGTGGTCCCAGTTCCATATACTCTGTCTTCGCCGTGTTCAGCTTTAATCCATGTATCTCTAATTGGTCTTTCCATCTTTGCACTTGCATCTGGAGCTCTGTCCTGCTTCTTGCCAGTAGGAGGACATCATCTGCGTACATGAGTGTCCATGGTGGTTGTTGTATGAAGCCGTCGACTACTGCATCCATGACTGTGATGAATAGGAGCGGTGACAGTACAGAGCCTTGATGTACTCCGGCACGTATTTGGAATTCTTTCGATGGTCCCGCTGCTGTCTGTACGAGGCTGGTCGCATTCTTGTAGATCATCTTCGTCCAGTGCACGTATTCTTCTGGCACTTTGTGCTTTCGGAGTGCCCACCATATGATGTCGTGTGGTAACCTATCGAATGCCTTCTCCAGATCGAGGAACGCTGCATGCAGTTCACATTGCTTCTCCCTGCTTCTTTCTACACTAGCAACACTAATAACACCAGTTATACGAGTAACACGGGTAACACCCAACACGAGTAACACGAGTACCACTGGTAACATCGGTAACACGGTTAACACGGGTACGGCTAAAGCCTAATAAAAGCATAACTCGTCATTGATGAACGTTTCGCAAATAAGGAAGGGATAAGAACGGTATGAACAAAGGCAACAGAGACAATTGTTCTTCAAAAACTAGACACTCACTTGGTTCCACGCAGAAAGGCCTTGACTTCATGTACACTAAGATCAGAAATGCGACGACAATCAGCAAACAGACGACGGCATCGCAGAGTAATATAAGCCAAAGCGGAGGAGCCGGCACAATCAGAGACAACTGAAGAAATGGGAAAGCTGAAGTCAATTACAAGTTGCAACTAACTTCGCGCATGGCCTCACCAGTCGAGGCGTTTTTGAACTGTAAATGGATCTTACCCCATGCCACAGAGATGAACGCCTGAGTTGTGGTCAACCGCTGCATGTTGGTTAAATCATTCCAGAGAAAGGTCCTGGTAATGCGGCTGCTCCAAGTTTTATGCAATCATAATAAGTCATCCCGATTCGTACAGGAATTTTAGGTGGATACCTAACCATATCAGACGTTTGTCAATACATTATGGAGGCTTGGTGAACACACAGCTCTAGTGCCATTTTGCGTGTCATCCCATACAGGACACAAGAGTTGACTTATAGATTTCGAAAACGAAGGCCCATTAGGCTTTGCCAAAATTTACAAACCGGTAACGTTTGGTAAACTCTAGAATTTGAAGTATTACTGTAGATGGTTAAATCGGTATAGGCGACTGTGCATAAGATGTCATAAGAAGGAAGATGGAGACGACGAAATACTGAAAATAGAGGAAAGTCAAAATTAAAAATTCAAAGTAATTGACAAAGCTACTTTTGCAGATCCTAACGAGGAAAGACTTTAAGAAAGTAAGTCATAGGTTCGAACGAACCTTTATTTATACTAGCGACCCTACGGGTCGCTAGCAAGTGGGTCGAGGCAGATACAATACAAGGGCTTCGTTGTGGCTATAAATATTTTTTAATAACTTTCCTATTCCTTTCCTGTGAACATTTTTGCGAAGAGCATTCTATAAAAGGAGAACTGCTCGAAGAAGCGATAATCTTCACAAATCAATTCATTACTCGAGATTCCTGCTAAACTATGCATGGAGAAGGCTATTTTTCACTCGTTTACCACGCTCTTTCTGCAAATTTCCCCTCCTCTCAAAGACATACAGATTAACCCTCCCCCACTTTTCTACCCTCTCAAAGAGAATTTGCTCTTTCAGTTCTTCTCAACAACATTCACAAAAGATCGTTCAGTAAGTAGCAGAACACCTATCGTTTTGGAAGTAGAAATGTACCCCTAAAACTATGTGTACTACAAAAAACACTTTTCTCTGAGAATCAATTCCGACAGCAACGAAATCAATCGTCTAAGAACTTTGTCAGAAAAACCTTCAATTTTTTCGCTTAAGAAACATGAAGCTTTACTACAAAAGGAGAACCCCCTACTGAGCCACTTAAAGACCGTCAGTCATAAGAATGCACAAACGTGAACAAAAAATTTGTTTCCCCGTCCGATCAAATTGCCCTACGTGCCGCCTACAAACCAATACTATCTATCTGAAAGACAATTTATGTCCTACGTGCCGCTTGAAGACTTTTTAAAAATTATGAGAACTGCCCCAAACGTACAAAAATTTGTTTCCCTGTGCGATCGAGTTGCCCTACGTGCCGCTTACAGACCAATATCATCTATCTGAAAGACAGTTCATGCCCCAAGCCGCTCGAAGACCGTTTAAAAATCAAAAGAATTGCCCCAAATCCACAAAAATCTGTTTCCCTGCCCGATCGAGTTGCCCTACGTGCCGCTTACAGACCGATAGTAACTATTCAAAAAGAAAAATTATGCCCTATGTGTCGCTTGAATACCGTATATGTGAGAAAAACCGACCTTACGACTCTACAGAAAGAAAACAACGAAATCAAGTAATCAGCGTAAATTGCCGTACATGCCACTTTTGGCTTTTTTTTTGAGAACTGCCCCAAACGAAGAAAAATAGGTTTCCCTGCCCGATGGAATTGCCCCACGTCCCGCTTACACCCCGTTACCTAGTTGAAAGCAGCGGGACTTAGTTACATAAGCAAAAGCAAGGCTATTGTTAGAAAAACGCTTCCAAAAGTACCAGCGACAAGTTACTCACGCACCCTCTTGTTTACAAGCGGAAGCAAGATAATCTTAAAGTGACTGTTCTTGTTTAGAGCATTTTTACCAAGAGTTGAGAACATAGCTGAATTCAGCTCAAGACATTTGGCATCATTTCAAAAGCAACTGGTAGGAGTACAACATATTTGGAAGACACATTCTGGGATAACAAGCTCGAAAAAAAGCAGGTATACAAATAATACACCCGGACACTGCCGACCCAGTCTCAACTTCATTGCGACACTCATGATTGCCTTTCGAAATACGCGCGACCCTTTTACGAAAATATGCTTGGTCACTCGTTATGAAATTTGGCAGCGTTCCAAAACGCATGCCACTTGGCAGCAATCCAAATCCAAAGATCAGTGTATTTCATCATAATTTTTACGTCTGCGGCCTCCTCGTTTGCCATGATCCAACTATCGGGCGGCTTAATGGGTAAACAACGAATTCGTTATATATTACGTAGTGACTCCCAGCCAACTCAGGGGATTTGGAGCTTAAACAGGTATCGTCGCCTCCCTGGTGTACGTTGGGCGGAGCATTTGCAGACATCCGAACACATTTGTGAACTTGTTAACCCTCCATTACAAGGCATTGTTCTTTGTAATCTCTCGCTACCAACTCTGCCACATATGACAACAGCGAATATACGTGGTAGTCTAGAGGCACAAATAACCATACTTTGCACAAGAGGTTTGACAAGTAACCAACTTGTTCAGATGTCTGCAAATGCTCCGCCCAACGTATCGTCCCCTCCACAGATCGTGCTACCCTTGTGTCGTCACGGACGTTCCACGTGTGACTAACACATTGGCAACGTTGGCAACATGCAGCAACATGTTGGCGTGGCCAAAACGTTCTGCTAACACCTTGGGGCATGTTGCAAACATGTTGTTGCCACGTTGCCAACATGTTAGCCACACGTGGTAGGTCTGAGACGCAGATCAAGGGTAGCACGATCTGTGGAGGGGACTATACATCGAGGAGGCGACGATATCATTTCACGTAGATTTTAGTTTTTCCAGCGTAGTACTCTCCACAAAATTATGTACAATGGGTTTCCGATTCGTGTGAAGGCGGAGTTATGCCAACTCAGAGTGTGGGGCGCTTTTTGATAGGATAGAGTATGAAAAGCAGTGCTATAAGGTAGAGGTTTAACAAGTTCATTTCTATAGAGAAAGTGCGCAACCCGTCTTCACATGAATCTGGAAGCCGATTATATATCGTCCCTATCACAGCTGCTGATTCCTTTAGTCTGCGCCTCTGCTGCCACATATGGCTGACGTGTTGGCAAGGGCAACAACGTGGCCCGTGCCAAGAAGTGATTGGTAATCCCTTAGTAAAATTCGTAATTTTTTCAGTCCCTGAAGCAGCACGTCCGCGTTGCTGAAATACGGGCGCTGTGTATCAACAAGCTGTATGTTGTCCAGAATCTCAAATAACTTATAAGGAGGTGAGCCAGCTCAATAGAAAGTTATTGGCTTGCAACAATCTACAACATGCTTTTAATTGACGATCCTTGAGGGTCTACTGCGAATTTTTACACGCAAGTCCTCTTGCATTACGAAACACTTTAGTAAAGCGTTGAAGAACGGTAATACACTCGCCATCATCCGATTTCACGGTGACACAACTTGAATGGGGATAGCCTGGTTGTGCACAATGGACAAAATGCCGTTACGATAATGAAAATTTGCCTTAGCAGACTTGATCTGAGGCTCGGTTACTCTTCCTGTTACTTACGATCTTTCTATTCAAATCATCTGAAGAGAGACTGTTTATTTTCTTCGTTTGAATCTACCCTTATCCCCTACTCTTTTCGTGTCATGCAAACTTTGAAAATAGCCGATTAGTAAGAGCCAAGTTAATATCTGCAAGTTACTAGGATAAAAATTGTGTTTGGAGCCACCATGTAAAGAAATGGATAATGATCTAAAGTAGTTAAAAATCAGGTGAGAAGCTCACATGCGATGCGCATTACCGTCCTGCTTCTGAATTCACCAACAGAAGGCGAAACCGGTGACGAAGGGGATACCAAACGTTTAATGGTCAGTTCCACTTTGTTCTCGCATCTCGCCACACGTATGCTCCAAGACACGCGTTCCAAGCAAAGTCAGCTTCCTATTATAATATGAACTAGCTGGCTTATCTGACCCGGCCCTGTCAAAACACAATAATAAAGTTTCATTCTCATCCCTGTACAACCTTTCCCTGTGCTCACTTCTACATGCATTCCTTATTCTCGCTGTGTTAGTAATCAGCATGCTCACTTACCCCCCTTTGCCTCACAGTCTCGTAGCTCAAACTTTGCAAAAAAAACACAATAAAATTGACAGAAGTAACAGACTTCTAAAAATGTCGTGTTCGCTATAGCTGGCTTACTCGGCTCTGTACAGCCCTGCCAAAACACCGTGATAAAGCTCCCATCCCTATCCCTTTCCCTGTGTCCACTTCTACATGCCCGTTCCCTATTCCCCCTGCGTTAGTAATCAGCATGCTCGATTACCTCCTGTGCCAGATCCCAGCCCGTAGGTCGACCTTGCAAAAATTGATATTCGATAAAAGCAATGGACGATTCCAAGAACTAAAATTGTATTCGTATTCAGCATGCTTGTTTACCCCCCCCCCCCCCCGTGCTAACTCCCAGCCCTGTAGCTCAAACTTTACAAAAAATCGATAAAAATCGATAAAATCGTTATTGATCGATGACGAGGAAAGCCTACGACACACATCCCGCCCCGAAGTGTATGTGGGCCAAGTTTGGTCCGGATCGGTTCAGAAAGAAATTTTCTATTCGGAACATAGGTACAGACACACAGAATACAAACAAACAGACATTCAGCTATATATATAAGACTAGCGCCCCTACGGGTCGCTAGTAGGTAAGTGGGGGCAGATACATTGATATCTGCCATTGCTTAACCAAAAATCCCAAAAAAAGAATTTTCATCTTCGACCTTTCGCGTGTTGTGAGGAGTAGAAACAAAACACAATGCTCCTAGGAAAAGAAGCTACTACCAGTGACTATCCGCAAAGCATCTTTGCTGTTCCTCTTGCAGATACCTTCGCCCAAATACCGCAGCTCTTGAACAAGGAAGCTACCTCCAAGCGCCTGTTTAGAACAGCTGATTCATCCCAAAACTCAGATTGATTTCCAACAAAAGTGCCTTGTTAAAGGAAGCGTCAAGTTATGTCTTCCAGCAGCCGAAAACTCAGATATGTAGATCAAAACATTTTCTTCGATGATGTCTTGCCAGTGAACGGACTTATTTCTTAGAACAGATAAAG